CTGATGCGCCGCGTACCGAACCGCAAACGGCCACAGAAAATGGGGGGCAGCCGCATGCATCATGGACGTACGGGCGACGTCCATGACCATGCCAATGCGGCGCTCAGCAATCCCATTTTGCTGTGGAGAGTCTGGAAGCGTGAAGGTCTGGCGGATGCCTCGTGCACGACAGTAGGCTCGCAGAAGGCCAGAGGAGAACTCTCCACCTCTGTCAGAGTGCAGACGCAGAACAGTAAAGTCCGAGCCGAAGCTCTGCCTGAGATGGAGACGAGCTGCGCGGATCCAGTCGATCAACACCTCAGTGACATCACCCTTGCTGCGCAAGGGGAAGACTGTGGTGTAACGCGAGTAGTCGTCAACCACCAGCAGGAAGTAGCGCTCGTGACCCTGTCCACGGACGCGGGCCGGGCCCCACACGTCCATGTGAAGCGTCTGCAGCGGGGCCTCTGTCGGAGGAAACTGGGAGGAGTGAGGGGCAGCCCGCTGCCGCCCCTCGACACAAGGGACGCAGGTAGGGCCTGGCCCCGGAGGAAGGGGAGGGAGGGACCGGGGAAGACCAGAGACAAGCACACGAGAGGCCATGCCTCGGAGACGAAGCAGGGAGGGGTGACCAAGGCGGTGGTGCCAGAGGAGAGTCTCGTGCGACAGGAGGCGACACGAACAGGGGGCAGACTCAGGACCAGACCTGGACGCTGCAGCAAACACCTGACCCGACGCAGCTACCTGACCAGACGCAGTGACTGGAGGAGACGCAGTGGTCAGTGTGTACAGGCTCGACCCCGGCCGACGTGTAAACGTGGCCAGGTGTCGGCCAGTCCGAGCGTCCGTGCAGTGGGTCACCCGCTGACTCGCAGGAGTGAACTGGTGAACCCCCGCATCCTGTAGGTCAGCACCACTCACCAAGTTCGTAGAGAACGAGGGGAGGTAAAGACCAGACAGGGTGCCAGAGGGGGCCGTCGGACACGGGAGGACAGTGGAGAAGTGAGCAAGGACAGGACCCCCAGAGGGGTCTGCCAGAGAGACTGCAACTGGCCGGCCAAGCGGCGTGAGTGTGGTGCGGTCTCGAAAGAAGGAGTGAGAAGCCCCCGAGTCAAGGGTGAAGGTGTGGGAGGCCGAAGCCGACGCAGTACCTGAGAGAGCAGACTCACCAGCACCTGAGGGAGCAGACGCACGAGCACCTAGAGCAGCAGCCTCGCTAGCACCTAGAGCAGCAGCCTCACCAGTACCTAGAGCAGCAGTCTCAATGCCCGGGTCGGGCGGAAAACACCGGTAACAGTCACCCTCATCACTAATAGTCACAGCATACATGGCAGCAAGAATAGCATCAAAGTCAAGGTCAAAGACAGCTACACCCGCCCTAGACAGCTCGCCCCAGCGGGGGATCTCAGTGGCCTCAGGGAACTGGTGACACCAAGCGTCCGTCAGGCGGCCAAAGCAGCGCTGGGTGGAGTGCGCACCCCTGCACTGCTCACCCGCGCGGTCGCCGGTGCGTAGGACGTAGGTGCACGGACCAGTACCCCCACCCCGCTGGCGTGCAGCGTACCACTCACGGAGCTGCTGAGGGGGTGGGATGTCACGAGTGCGCTGCTGCCGCTGCTGCTGCTGCTGCTGGCGCTGACCACCACCGGAGCCGACCCTCTGCCCAGCGCCACCTCGACCAGCTCCACCTCCTCCGCCGCCGCCTCCTCCACCGCCGCCACCTCCGCCACCTCCGCTCCCACCGCCACCGCCGCCGCCGCCTCCGCCTCCACTGCCGCCACCGACACCTCCACCCCCGCCACCACTCCCACCACCACCCCCACCCCCTCCACTGCCGCCACCGCTACCTCCGCCACCCCCGCCAGCCCCTCCAGCACCCTTGCCCCCCTTGCCCTTGCCGGTGCGGCGTCTCCCGCTCGGGGCAGACGCAGCGCCGACCGACTCGAGACCAACGAGGTCGGCCGCAGCAGCAGAGGCAACAGAGGGCAAAAGAGGGGAGGGGGAACACCCCTCAAAGATGGGGGTGCGAGGGTCACCACGAGAGGCTCCTACAGCTACTATGCTCTTTTCTGCTGCTAGGAGGGCCTTCTCGAGGAGGTCAACGGTGAGAGTGGTGGGGAAAACTGAGAGGAAGTGGTCCCTGACTACGCGAAGGGAGTCAGGGAGACGGGTGACTATGTAGTAGAGGGTGATGTACATGGGGGGGGGGTTCTTGGCGCAGAACTCAGCAGGAAGCGCAGCGCGGTAGCGAGTGTCACTAGTGCGGAGGTGCGTAATGAGGTCAGCGACTGTGGGAAAGGCAGCAAGGTCAGGGAAGAGGTACGGTAGCATGAGGCGGCTCAGTGCAGCAGTGGCAGGGGAGGAGTAGCGCGCAACTACAGCGTCGTACAAGGTGTGAGCACTCTTGTACTGGCTAAAGTGCGCACGCTCAGAGGTAGGCAGGTGGCGACGCACAGCAAGACGTGCAGCAGCATCGCGCGTGGCCCACTGTGAGCGAACAGTGGCGTCAGCATCAGCAGCGGGGGCAGGAGAGGCACCAGAAGTGAGGTCAAAGAGGGAGAGGCCGTCTGCCCTATCGCACTGTAAGAAAAGCTGCAGGTCATCTTTCCAGACGTCAAAGTCAATGGCCCGACCCTCAGCGTCAAAAGAGAGGACACTAGGGGTAGCCATGACAGCAGTAGACTAGCAGCGCAAACAGTAGGGTGAGGGCAGTGCTGTGAAAGAGGCGCTGCTCTGACCGGACAGGGCGGCTCGGGCGGCTCGGCTGCAGGGCGGCTCGGCGGCTCGGCTGCTGGGCGGCTCGGCGGCTCGGCTGCTTGGCGGCTCGGCGGCTCGGCTGCTGGGCGGCTCGGCGGCTCGGCTGCTGGGCGGCTCGGCGGCTCGGCTGCTGGGCGGCTCGGCTGCTGGGCGGCTCGGCTGCTGGGCGGCTCGGCGGCTGGGCGGCTCGGCTACTGGGCGGCTCGGCGGGGCCGCTGAGAGGGCGACGTCCGGGGCCGCTGGGAGGAGGCGGCGGGGCCGCTGAGAGGAGGCGGCGGGGCCGCAAAGGTAGGTGGCGGGGCCAGTAGGTAGGTGGCGGGGCCAGCAGGTAGGAGGCGGGGCCGCACAGGTAGGTGGCGGGGCCGCGGGTAGGTGGCGGGGCCGCTGGTAGGTGGCGGGGCCGCAGGTAGGTGGCGGGGCCGCACAGGTAGATGGCGGGGCCGCGGGTAGGTGGCGGGGCCGCTGGTAGGTGGCGGGGCCGCAGGTAGGTGGCGGGGCCGCAGGTAGGTGGCGGGGCCACACAGGTAGGTGGCGGGGCCGCGGGTAGGTGGCGGGGCCAGCAGGTAGGCGCCGGGGCCGCACAGGTAGGCGTCGGGGCCGCAGGTAGGCGCCGGGGCCGGAAAGGGCGGCGTCAGGGCCGCAGGGCGGCGCGAGGGCCACTGGGTAGGCGACGAGGCCGCAGGGCGGCGGATCGGGGCTGGGTAAGGGCGGCGCGATGGCCGCGGGGTAGGCGACGAGGCCGCCGGGCGGCGGGTTGGGGCCAGGAAGGGCGGCGCGAGGGCCGCAAGGCAGGCGACAGGGCCGCTAGGGAGGCGCGACGGGGCGAGAAAAAAAAAGGAACGGGGGGGGGGGGAGCGCGACTCGGGCTAGGACTGAGCGCGCTCCGGGCAGAAAAAAAAAATGTCGAGTTGGTGGGCCCTAGGAACAGTTCCCACGAGGGAACCTGCTCGATACCATGATAAAATAGAAACGAGAATGAATTGACTAAGGGAAAGTTGGGTACAAATGTAAACCCTAGAAAACTGTACCCCATATGTGCTACCCCACTATAGCCTACAGTAGCTATGTCACATAAATCTGACAACGTGAGCCATTACGACATGGAATATCATCAGTGAAGTGGGTGTGTGAGGGCAAGCAACCCGCCTCTCGACGAGATCCACCTTTTGTATAGACCAAAAGGTCCGAATCACATCAGCTATAAGGTTAGATGTGCGCATAGAAGCGACAACCAACCAAATATTTCCAATCCATCCTCCAGCATTATGCTCGTAACGTGCATGCTCAAGACACGAGTTTGTGTTAACAAAAGTGCAATGATGTTGACAGATCGCACGCCAGATCGATATCCTTCCCCTTTTGGTGGTGTGACTTCATAAAAAGACGAAAGACTTCAAGGTGAGGGGCTGTGAAATGGTCAATCCAAATGGGGTATACACGTCACAACGAGTCCGAAGAAATCAAGTACGTGTGCGCTATCCACATGGACTTTCATGTCCTGGTGGGTTTTTCTACAATGAATGTTCATGTATGATATGTGAATGTAAGAGGATCCTTGTGCATGTATCCAAGCGTGCTGTAAAAAAAAACGGCTTGTGGCTCCCAACAAGAGCCTTCAATTAGCACATGGATATGGTCACACCAAGACGCTGGCATGGCTTGTCATACCGCGAAAGACTATGTCGTATACTGGAAATTGCTCCGAAATGCAGACCTTGCTAAAACCGAACGCTGAAAATCAGGGATTGAACATAAAAACGTTGAAAGTTCGACAATGATGACGCGTTTACGATAGGTCTCACGGCGATGAGAATAGTTTTTTTTTTTTTTTTTTTTTTTTTTTTTTTTTGGAGTCGACAACTTTCTGTATAGCGCCAACTGAATGACAACAAGTACTCGACAATTGCGTAAACGATGTGCGCGTTTGCGTCACAGTCAGCCGAATCACTTCAGCGCCATAATTATGAGGAGTGGTGGTACGTCCGAGCGATAGCTTAGGAAGGGAGTGTTACCATTTACGGAAAAACACATCATAATGTTGAAATGGCAGCAAGGGTTGAATTGAACTCGACCACGTAGTTTTGGCAATTGAAGGGGAAACTGCAAAAAGGGAAGGGGGGAAACTGCACGAAGGGAAGGGGGGGAACTGCGTACGGAAGGGGGGAAACTGCGCGCAGGCAAGGAGGGAAAACGCGCGCAGGGAAGGAGGGAACTGCGCACAGGCAAGGGGGGAAACTACGCGCAAGCAAGGGGGGAAACTGCGCTTAGGGAGGGGGGGAAACTGCGCGCAGGCAAGGGGAGAAACTGCGCGCAGGCAAGGGGGGAAACTGCGCGCAGGCAAGGGGGGAAACTGCGCGTAGGGAGGGGGGGAAACTGCGCGTAGGGAGGGGGGGAAACTGCACGTAGGCAAGGGGGGAAACTCCGCGCAGGCAAGGGGGGAAACTGCGCACAGGCAAGGGGGGAAACTGCGCCCAGGCAAGGGGGGAAACTGCGCTTAGGGAGGGGGGGAAACTGCACGTAGGCAAGGGGGGAAACTGCGCGCAGGCAAGGGGGGAAACTGCGCGCAGGGAAGGGGAGAGCGACGCGAGGGACTTGAGGAGGAACGGGAGCGACGGGAGGAGGGACGGGAGCGACAGGAGGAGGGACGGAAGCGACGGGGTGAGGGACGGGAGAGACAAGAGCAACGGGAGGGACAAAGGCGACGAGAGGGACGAGAACGAAGGGAGGGTCGGGAGCGACGAGAGCTGCCAGAGCGATGAGGGCGACGGTTCTCGCTATCTTTCTGCGCATCGTGCATGCGAGTGATAGGACTGGAGAGACTCAGGGGCGGGACCGATGGGGAAGGGGGAAACGGGCAGGGAAGGGAGCGCGACGGGCAGGGAACGGAGCGCGACGGGCAGGGAAGGGAGCGCGACGGGAAGGGGAAGGGAGGGCGACGAAAAGGCGGCGATGGGAGGGGAGGCGAGGACAACGGTACCGCCGCGACGATGAAAATGGCATTTGCCGTCACGACATTGGGAACGGAAGTGACATTGGCCGCGACATTTGGAACTGGAGTGCACTTGAACCGCTTATTATCGGAATGGTGGTTGACGACGCTCACAAGGGCTCTTAGTCAAGGCCAGTCGTGTGTTACGGCGGGAGTCTTGATAGAGAGTGACACGATTGTGTGACTTTGTGAAGGTATGGGAGTGACGGGGAGGGCGAGATAAGCCGGCGGGACAAGACGATCGGGAGAGACGGGACGGACGGGCGGGAATGAGTGCACTAGCAGTCAAGTGCGCTATTTTCTAAGCTATGGAGCCTCCAAGGTATCGAGTCTATTATGGTCAGTTGTTACGGGTGCAATGAATCGAAGTAGCGAGAATTGCACTAAGGTGTCAAACGAGTACAAAGTGTGAGCGAAGGCATGAGCGAACATTTATACGCGAAACATGCAAACGGTAACGCGGTGCGTGCGAGCTAGCTAGTGCTACGCTGGAAGCGAGGCTCGGGCTAGTCCCGAAGCGTAGGCCGACACGGCCAGGCCAGCAGTGCGAGGTTTGGTGAACAGTGCGCGCGAAGTCGGCGAAGCCTCGTTAGCAGTAACGGGCGAACAACGGCTGCTGTTGTACGCGATGTTGCAGGGCGCGCTAAGGAATATCGAGAAAATTCCTTACACTACCCCCCCCCTCAAGAAGCCCCCTCCGCTACGCAAGTGCGTTTATATCGCGGAAACCCCGGCTCCTCAGGTACACTTGCAGGGCAGGGTGGTTTTCGATGTTGGCCAGGGGCACCCAGCTATCCTCAGTTGGCGTGCGATCCTTCCAGCGAACGAGGAATTCAATCCTCCTGATTCCCGTGGGGTGTCGAGTCCGATGGCTCAGGATTTTTTCGGGCTCGATGATCGGCTCCGATGCAGGGCGAGTCATGGATGGCGGGCGGTGACGAGGCAGTTGGCTTGTGGTTGGAATGTATGGGCGAAGCAGGCTGACGTGGAACGAAGGGCTGACGTACCAGTCCGTCGGCAACAGTAGGTGAGCTGTCACTGGGGTAATCATGTGACTAATTTGGAATGGTCAACAGTAGCGGGGTCGTAATTTCGGTATGACGGGCAGACTTAAGTTTTGCGTGTCGAGCAGTACGTAATCTCCTGACTGGTACGTGACTGGGCGGTGGTGGCGGTCAGCGTTGCGCTTAGCGATGACGTTGGCTTTTTTAATTGCTTCTGCGGCTCTGGTGCGGGCAGCTTGCAAAATCTCGGCGAATTGCTGTGCACGTGGTGTTGGGTTGTCCGGACTCGGCGTCATGGGCACTGTAAGATTTTGCCCGTAGTTCAGATAGAACGGGGACTGCTGCGTCGTCGCTGACGTGGCGTTGTTATACGCGAACTCGATCAGCGGCAGCTGCTGCTCCCAAGTGGTCGGGTCGTCGCACGTGGCATGAATCAACTGCTCCATCGTCTGATTCGTCCGCTCCGTTTGACCGTCGGTCTCGGGGTGGTACGACGAGATGAACTGTAGCCTTGTCCCGAACTGCTCCCAGAGGTTTTTCCAGAAGTTGCTGGTGAACTTCGTGTCGCGGTCGCTGATTATCGCGGCTGGTATCCCGTGCAGTCGAACGACGGCTGCGATGAACAGGCGAGCGGTTTCTTCGGCTGAGATCGATTTCTTGCACGCAGCAAAGTGTGCCATCTTCGTCAACCTGTCAACGATGACCATAACCGCGTCGTTACCCCCAGGGTTTGAAGGTAACCCCGTGACGAAATCCATGGTAACCTGCTGCCAGGCGCGCTCAGGCGGTGGAATCGGCTGCAACTTATTAGCCTTTCTATTTCGCGAGCTCTTCATCACCTGACACGTAGGGCACGAGCCCACCTGGTGCTATACGTCGGTCAACAGCTCCGGCCAGTAGTAATACCGCTGCAGTTGCTGTCGCGTTTTTTCTACCCCAAAATGTCCCGAGGTAATCCCGTCGTGTGCCTCCTGCAGTAACAGTTCCCTTAGTAGCGAGTACGCGGTTACCCAGATGCGGTTGGTGCCTGTTTTTACGTAATAGACTCCTCTGGCCTCTGCCATTTGCTGTGAATTTCCGGTCGTAAAAAATGGGTCGGTATAGTATCCGTGGGTGAATAGGCCTGTTAACAGTGGGTTGGTTTGGGTGAGTAGGATGGCGTGGAGTGGGGCGTGTGAGTGCGTCGGCGATGTTGGATGCGCCTTTTTTGTATGTGACCGTATAGTGGAAATTGGACTCCATATAGTCCAACCAGCGGATCTGTCGTGGGTTGAGATTCGGTTGGGTGCGAAGGTACTGTAGTGATCGGTGGTCTGTCCGTACTGTCACGTCTGCTCCCGTGAGGTAACATCGCCACACCTTGAACGCGTGCACGATCGCCAGCATTTCGCGGTCATGTATCGGATAGTTGCGTTCGGGCGGGTGAAGCTTGCGAGACTCGTACGCGATTGGTTGGAGGCCGTTCCCGAAGTCCTGCAACAGTACTGCTCCCACAGCGATGTCGCTAGCGTCGGTGACGAGCTCGAACGGACGGTGCGGAATTGCGATGTGAAGTACGGGCGGTGGGCACAAAATATTTTTGAGGGCCGAGAAGGCAGCTTGCTCTTTCTCCCCCCACGTGTACTCAACCCCCTTCCTTAGTAGGTCGGTCAACGGGGCAGTCAGCTTCGCCATGTCGGGGACGAACCGGCGCACGTAGTTGACGAACCCCAAAAAGCTCTGCAACTCGGTCAAGTTGGTCGGCGCGTGCCATGCTTGAATCGTCGCGATCTTTTTCGGGTCTATTTCCACTCCTGCAGCTGAGATAATGTGTCCCAAAAACTCCAGTCGGTCCTGTAAAAACTCACACTTAGACGCTTTTGTCAGTAGGCGGTTCTCACTCAGTATCTTAAAAACTGCTTCGATGTCCTGTAAGTGCTGTGCTCTGTCAGGGTTGTAAACCAGTATGTCGTCCAGGTATGCGATGACGCACTTATCTAAAAGCGGGCGGAAGGCTTCGTTCATGGTCATTTGGAAAGTGGCGGGAGCGTTGGTCAGTCCGAAGGGCATGACGTTGTATTCGAAGGACCCGTAGCGTGTTCGGAAGGCTGTCTTAGGGCAGTCGGGTGGATTGACGCGAATCTGGTGGTAGCCTCCTCGAAGGTCGATTTTCGAGAAAACCCGGGCGGTGTGCAGTTGGTCGATCAGTTCGTCGGCTCACGGAATGGGGTAACGGGATTTTATGGTAGCCCGGTTCAGTGCTCTGTAGTCTGTGCACATGCGAAAACCCCCGTCCTTTTTCGGTGTGAACAGTATCGGGGCTACGAAGGGCGACGAACTAGGGCAAATGAACTCCTTCTCGAGCAGGTAATCCAGCTACTTCCTTAGTTCGTCCAGTTCGGGTTGGGTCAGTCGGAACTGTCGCTGTACTGTCGGCTGTGCCCCCGGTTCTAGTTCTATCCTGTGGTCGTGCGGTCGCTGAGGTGGCAGTCCCGTCGGTAGGTCGTCCGGGAAAATGTCACTGTACTGCTTCAACAGCGCTGCCATATCACTCGGTACGTCGGCTAGCAGTTTCTGTAAATTCCCCCCTTTGTCTACTGCCCCGGCTTCCCGAATGTCAACCTCGTACACGTCAGCTCCTGCCGCTACGGCGAGTTTCATCATGATCGCGTTGACATGCACCGACGAAGACTCAGGCGAGCCCCAGCGAGGTAAGGCGATGTTGTTACCATTCACTCGCACAGCGCAGTCACCCGTTGTCCAGTCAATTCGTGGATTGTGTCGTTGCAGCCAATCACGCCCGAGTAAAATATCGGTTCCGTCGAGGGTCGTTGCGAGCATTTCCTGGCTTAACGTGAAGTTACCCCCGCATCGAATCCGAACTCGGTCCACACGTTCCCGTATCTCCAGTGGCGTGCCGTCGACCAGTCTTGCATCGATCTCAGGTAAACATCTGTCCAGTGGAAGTCGCAATTTTCGTGCTGTGGCAGTATTGATAAGGCTGTGGCTGGCCCCTCCGTCTACGAATATCTTAACTAAGTCAGTCCCGATTTTCCCACTAAGCAGTATAGGGCTGTCTACCGTAGTACCCTCCTTATTCGGCCGGGTGTCGTCGATTGCGTGAACCGGCACAATCACTCGGTGAGGGTCGGTTGGGTTGGGCGAGCGGCGTTGTCAAACACTATATGTGTTGTTCTTGTGTAGGCTATAGTGGGTTAGCCTTTAAGGGGTACACAAAACTAGGGTTCACTACTTGTACTCCACCTTTTCATAGTTCATACACTTCTTCTCATTCTGACATGGTAGCAGAGCTTAGGTTCTAGACCTAGGACTCACCTAAGGGCCCACCGTTAGAAGCACCCTCGAGCGCCCCATCGTCCTAGCGCCCTCGAGCGCCGTTCCCCTAGTGCGCCCTCATGCGCCTCGTCTTCTCCTGCTGCCTGTGCGCGGCTCGCTAGTGCCGCGCGCGGCCTTTTTTTCCCGCGCGTCGCCCCCTAGCAGCCCGCGCGCGGCCGTTTCTGAGCGCGCGCCGCCCGTTAGCCGCCCACGCCGCCACGAGCAGCCCGTCGACCGGCCCCCCCTAGCCGCGCGCCGCCCGTGAGCCACCCGTAGGCCGCCGCGACGTCCTCCCTAGGCCACCCGCCCGCTAGTAAGGCCCACGAGAGGCCCCGGCCTGCCCGCTACAGCCGCCCACGCGCACGTCCCCTAGGCACGCACCGCCGCGTAGCCCAGACCGAGCCGAGCCGCACAGCCCGAACCGAGCCGCGCCGCCCGAACCGAGCCGCGCCGCCCGAACCGAGCCGCGCCGCCCGAACCGA